GAAAGGAAAATTATCAATGAAAGAGGAGGTAGAAAAGGAGGAGGAGGAGGAGAAGGAGAGCAAAAAAAGAAAATTCGTGCATGCTCTATGCAGAGTACTCCACTCTCAGTAGCAGTAGAGAAAGTACCTTCCTATTTGGCAGAACCACCTGCTGGGCGCACTGAGAATCCACAGGCACCGAACGAGGCCCTGAGCGCCCACGTGGTCGCCGCGCCGCGCCACGCCGGGCCACGCGGCGCGGGTGAGGCCCTCCAGTGCGCCATCTAAATTGGAGCGCGCGGCCGGAGGGCGGTCGCAGTGGGAGTGGGTGTGGCGCGACGGGAGGGAAGGTCGGGCCGGGCCGGGCCGCGCCGCGCTGCGGGAGACTCCTATTTATACCCTCCATCCTCTGTCCGTCCCACCGCCCAGCGAAAGCCCCGAATCGCGGCGACAGCCCACATTCCAGCGAGCCTGTTCACCCGACCTGCTCCGCACCTGCTCTTGGGTTTCGCTGCGACACGCTGATGACAATCACACTCTAGCCACAAGATCGCACTTCACCGCACTCACAATCTGGGTTCGAGCTTAGACGTAGAATCTGACATGTTCCTTGAGATTAGCTCAATAGATTGTTCATCGCTGCTTTATCGTTTTTTTAATGTGAGCAATTAACATGTTAACAATTGAAGAGGTCCAACTTAAGAGATATTTGTCTGTCTTCGTTTGCTTTTCTGAAGTATAAAATATTAAACGAAAATGTGCTCTTGAAAACCGAGAATATCGGGTATCTTCTCAGTACCTGAACATTGTTCACTTAATTTTATATAAATAGCATAAGCGTGTGCAGCCTAAAACAAGCGAGGGAGGCACATTTATGGGCCTCATCTTTCATTAATGTTTTTCAATCTATGTGTGAAAGTTTTTATTAGTAAATAAATAAAATATATACAATGAGGCACATTAATCACATTAATGGCTTGAAGAGCCTGTTCCTTAATTGACATATGTATAACACAGGGACGGATCCAGCCGATCATTTTGGAGGGAGTCATAATAGAATTTTGTTAAATAATAAACATGTATTACTACATTGTATATTAGTTTCTAGTGTATTATGATACTGTACATACTATTTTTTGAATAACTACATAATTCTAACATTTTTAAATCAATTTTGCCAAATAACGGAAGATAACAACTGAAAATTTTAAGTCTTTTTTTGGGGGGGGCATGGCCCCCTTGGCCCCCCTCTGGATCCGCCACTGAAACAACTCCCCAAATTGTCATGTTTAAAACAGGAAAATTTTGGAATTGGGCCTCCTTAAGAATTAACTTAAAGAGAGACGTGGCGAACATGTCTCTCTTTCCCTTCTCCGTTACTAACGAAGCTCTTTATTCGTCTTACAGCTACAGAAACTGACACGATTTTAATGGAAAGCTACAACTCCATGTTTGCCCGATCGTGAATCGAACCGGGGATTGTAAAAGTAATGTTTAAATCTGAGTTTTCATCTTTCATTTAACTTTTTTATTTTACATTTTTAGTGTACTTTAGATAGTAATTTAGAGGTTTCTAAAATTTGTATTCAAAACAGCTCACATTTTATTCCAAAAAATTGTCTGATGTCATTGTAACTTCAACTCTAGAATAGCAATAGCAAATGTCAATGTTCCAGAAACGAAGATGAGACATAAATGAATATAGATAGATATGTACCATTATTATTAATATCGAAAAAAAATTCAATACCGGAAGTATCGCCACGTTCGAGCATTCAAAAAACACGTGCGTCAAATTTAGTTTTTCTTTTACTACTTCCACACTTGTAATAACTTCCCCCTTCCTCCTCCAAGATGAACGTTCCACATTGCGTACAATTTCCTTGATTTCCTGAGATTAACTAACGAGTGAATATATTGAACATAGACAGAAATTTCATACACATTTTCAAACAATTTGTTATGTTTAATCTCAGAATAACATTTTGAGTAATTTTAACATTCATTTCACTTTCCCGTTTATCACAATAATTATCACACAGATGTGGTGAGAGCGTTCGGTGATCATCAATTTCCTTCCCTTTGCCTTCGCCTTTGTCGCAGGTGTGGGAATCCCCTCCCTCCGGAAAGCCATCGTTTATTTTGAATGGCCCCATTTTACGTCCTGTGCGTCTTCGTTTCGCGTTGCTCCGTGGTGAGCGAGCATCGCGAACGCGCAGCGCAGGAAACTTCCGACGCCGCTGGCGACGCCGCTGGGCGCCCCTGCGCGCGTTGGAAATTAGCCTTGTACGCGATGCGGGTGTCAGGCGGCGGAGTGACGGGGAGTGGGAGATTCCAGCGGCGGCGGGGGCGGCGGTGGTTGGGCGACAACGGGGACTGTGGCGGCGCCGCGCGGCGGCGGTACGGAGAATGGGGCTCAACGCACGCACCATGCGACTCGGGGCAGTTGACGGAGGGGACACTACCCTCACGGAAGGGGAGAAGGGAGAAACGGTTCCGCCGTGGCCGGCAGCGATTTGGCCCCTTTTCCACTGATCGATGTGTGGAATGCACGGTGACAGGGAGGGCGTCTGCCTCTTGTCAGATCGAAGTCGCCCAATTGAGAGTGGGGCTCTTTGTAGTTGGGCCGCATTCTATTTCGATCACAGTTTTGTTCCTCATATGGTTAATCTGAATACCAAAACTCAAATGTTTTCTGAGAAAATAACTTCAAATTTGGTATTTACAAAAACTGTTTAAACACGTTTGCTCAAAAAGTCCTCGAACTTTTTCAACAGAATTTGCCACATAGGACGAAGTTTTACACTTCCAAAACATTCTGTATGTCATATATCAGTTCTACCATTAGAGAACCGAAAATTTTAGCAAATGTGAAAATATGTGCAAATTGAGCAAATGCAATAATAGATGGCACCTAGGAATAGGGTAGGGCAAAGCCGAAAAGCTAGCCAATACTACCAAAAACAATTAGAAAACTAACTCTTACAAAAAAGTCTGTGCCGTTCTGCAGAACCTCTAGTTGATTTTGCAAAATACTACCAAACATATCCAATGGCGGGTGTAGAATGAAAGAGTTTATGTTCGCAAAACAGGCGACATCCACACTTTTTATGGGAAAAGTTAACTCCTATTGAATACTGTCGGTTCAAAACTGAAATATTAATCATCAAACAAATTCGAAAAACCATGATTATCTTTGTCTTTAATGTCTAAACGATTATTGACTTGATATTTAATTATTATTATGGGGTGGATTAAAATGAAATGCCATTTCTTTCTTTTCACTGTAGAACAATGCCGTTTAGTATAGAAATTCATTTTATGTTATGACAAAACGAAGTGACCTATTTTTACGTGTCTTTTCTTTTTTTTCATTTTTCGTCGATTTCGACTGATAAGCCAATTTTTACCCTTTTACGTCATTTTTAATGCATTTTTCGCTGATATCATCGATTTTAATGGTACTTGCTTCAAGCAGTATTTACGAGATGCAAAAAATGTTCGCCACAGAATTTCTGCGTAGCCTATTCAATTTCATCGCACATGTATTTTATTATTAGCCATTGTGAATACTTTGTATGTAATCTAAGGTTCCTTTGACGCCTATCTGCGCCATCTCGGTTCTGCCAATATCGCGATAAATAAAAGCAGAGATTTTCTTTTAAAGAACAGTCCAAACCAAACTTTTGCAAACTGAGTTCGCTTAAACAAAAGGAAGAAGCCTCAATTACATCAGTAACAGCTAGAGTTGTTCATCTGAAGTGGTTTTGATAAAATGTTGTTCGTCATTTTTCTTTCCTTAGAGCATATTTAAGGCATTTTAAGAGCATTTTATTAATCATTTTTTGTTACGTTTTAGGTCATGAAAATCCGCCCGCTATTTATTATTATTATTATTATTATTATTATTATTATTATTATTATTATTATTATTATT